AAAAACCAGATCTTCTGTACTCGGGACTCATTCACGCACGGAGAACCGTTTGCACAAGCCTGCATTCGGGAGTCGGGATCGCCGTAACACCGGCCGCTAACGATCTCGGATCTCGTAAGCAAGGAAACGCTGTTCGAGGTGCTAATCCATCTCTAGATCGCGCCGGTGAAGCGTGTTAATGCCAGGCGTTAATCGGTCCGATCGACTTCTCCGGCGCACGCGATTTCCGCCATTACTCACCGAATATTCTCATTAACATTGGCCCGGGCCGGAGATACCATAACTCAATCGGCACGCGGAAATCCATCCGGACAAATGGACTAATATCTCCCGGCAAAATCTGCCCCCGAACTCGGAGCTTCTTCCCCGGACAACATTCCACCCCCGTCGGGCACCGCCGTCTTCGTCATCCCCGGACGCGATGTCTCGCGCAACACGCGTAAAAAAACATTTCCTGTCTGAATCTTTGTATTTATATCCAACCATTCGATATTTTACGATAAGGCATTGTACACGTGCGTACTTATGAACACTGAATAAATCGCAGAATCTATTTGCTAACAATGTTTGCAAACGAGAACGTAATAAATGAAACATTATTCTGTCTTTATTTTTTCTGTCTTTATTTCGCACTATTACCCTACGGTATTAATAATTTAGTATCGCCGTATCGGCGACATCCTAGTGCAAAGGGTTAATTGTCAATGACCAAATTTTTCTTATTATCGGAATATATAAGGTCTACCGGAAAGTTTTGTCCGATAGTGTCACTTCAGGTTTCAATCCATATGCACATGTTGATTTGAGACATATGTAACTATCTCTCTTTATCATTGCATTTACACACATGTACTCTCCTAAATAAACTGAAACAAAGATGTCTCATGTCATTATTAAGTGAGACGCGATCGTGAAAACATGGCTACCGATGATAATGCCAGACCACATGCTGCTTTGGCGACTCGTCAGAAAATCGCAGAGCTAGGCTGCGAAATTCTGTCACATCCACCATACTCCCCGGACCTAGCACCCTCCGATTATCACTTGTTTCTCTCTTTGCAAATCTTTTTACAGGAAAAAAAATTCAAAACTGAAGCTGATGTCAACCAAGCACTAGTTGAGTTCTTCGCCTCTAAAAATAAATCATTTTTTAAACATGGCATTTACAAGTTGTCATCACGCTGGCAAGAAGTCATAAGTAACGATGGAAAGTATATTCTACAATAAATATTATTAAATGTATGAAAATTGTGTTATATTTCAATTTAAAAACGGACAGAACTTTCCGGTAGACCTAATAT